GGATCATTAGAATCATAGAAAGACTTAAAAGCATTTGGTAAAATAACTAGCACAACGTAGTTAGTGTCATAAACATAGCGCTAAGTTCGATAAATGTAGCAGGAATTTCTGTCAAGCTTTGTAGTTTTGTCCCTTTGAATTAAAAAGGGTTATTATGTCACTTTATATCAAGAAAACAATTGATAAGAAATGTAAAAAAAAGTAAAATATGTGTTAGTAACAAATCGTAACTTCAGGATCGACAACTTACATTTTTTTTTTTTTTTTGTGCTAATTCATGCTTCATGACACGCTGCTTCCAAATAGCAGGTTATATTTCCCGGTTAGGTAATAAGACCGCACGAGACGTAAGTAAGAAATTCGTTTATTCAAGCATTTATATATCAACCTCCTGATATCTAAGTACGCAGATAAATCCACCTATAGTTCTATATCACATTTTCATCCCTGTGAGTGTAGCGCCCTCGTTCCGCTGGCGTTGGCGGCGCTGGGGCTGGTTGCGGCGGACGTGGTGCGGCGGCGCGGCGGTCGCTCCCTCTTCTCCCCGCGTGTCGGGAACCGCACGGTGAGCCCCTCTCTCCCTCCTTTCTTGCGCTTTGAGGCCCTTAAGTCCTTGCTGGTGCTGGCCGGAGAGCGTGTTAGACAAGAAGATTTATTTTAGGCGAGGAGTGTTGTGTCTGTGAGGTACGAAAGGCTTTGATTGTGTTTCATGCGAGGGAAATAAGGATTTGTTTACCAACATGTGACGAGGAATGGCCGACACGTGTGGATATAAGGTGGAAGAAAATTGGTTGATGTGGATTTGAAGTGTTGCATAGATAGAATATTGACTTTATGTAACTAACGCAACAACTATTGAAGGTACATTTATTTAAAATTAGACGTTAAAACCACCTCACAGATTTTGGTAGAGAGTACGGCCTTCCTCGTGGAGACGTTGAAAACCAGACCGCGGCAGCTTGGGGACAATTTGTCATAATACGATGAAGTTTAATAAGTTTAAATACTTATGGAATTACATAGACGCGGATAAATGCTAAAACTTGTTAATAATATAACATTAAGTGCACGCGTGAAAAATCGCGATTTTGTGATATTCTAGGTCTCGAGGCCCATTGGCTTGCATTCGGTACAAAAGTTAATCTTCGTAGAGGGCAGTGTAGCCCATGGGTTAGTATGTACGTGGATGTGGTAGATTGACTCGTTTGAAGACCATTTGTCCATACTTAATGAAAATTGCAACTAAGGAATGTTTCTTCACATCAGTAGCATCTTAGTATATAGTGATGAGCAATTTAAAAGCATGCATTCTACACAAAGCAGGGTAGAATGCATAATGACCCAGGTGTGCTCTCCTGCTCTAAGTACATGAGGATTCTTTTTCCCTTGGCAGATGTTGAGCACTGAGTGGAGTTACTCGGAGCAAAGCTTTCTGCGATCTTTTTCCTTTGTGGTGTTACCTTTTGTGTTTGCAGATTACCTACCAATGTAACTTAAGTCCAACTATTTTAATTTGCCTTAGCTTACTGTATCCACACTGTAAAGATACCATCAGTAGCATTGATAGAAAATCCGCTGAGTTGGAAGGGCTTGGAATATTGGGAAATGGCTTGATAAGAGCTTGGACAGGTCTTGCATTATTGTACTTGCTAATTCTGGCTAAATTATTAATTTAGTCATTCACAATGTTCATAGCTTTAAAAGTATGTTGGCTAGGGGGTATGTTACCAAGAGTTAAGCACCCTCCAGAAGGTCTCAAAACTAAGGTATTGTGCAAACCCGGAAATCCAAACCGACGTTTCCTATCTCCTAGGTAGAGGTGAAACCCCCTTGTACTACCCCATCTTTATAAGCACTTCATGCCAACTTACAGAAACTGTAACTTTAAGGCTTTGTGAGAATGTTTTGGACTTAATCCGAGTGGTGATAGGTAGCAGATATGGTTTCGCTCATGGAAGCCTGATGCACCTGTACCCTTGACTTTTTTCTTATGTCAGATGGCACTCTGTGAAGCACAAGTCATAAACACAGGTACAGCTATTTTGGCCTAATATTTTATGAACTAACACACATCCGTTGAATTTCACCACTTGGAGACAGTTCCCAACACCCTCGCACAGCCACAGTTCTTAATGTTTTCTGTAACTTGGTGTGAAGTACTAATAATGGTGGGGTAGGGGAGGCTTGTCCCCCTTTCTAGGAAAGAGTAGGTAAAATTGTTTGGAATTTTGGGTTTGCAAGATACCTTGATTTTGGTACTTTCTCTACAAGGTGTGTTGTTCTCAATAACATGTACCGAAAATATTCACAAATTTAGATATGTGAAGGGATTGTCTGTACTTTCAAGTGTGGTGTGATCGTGTAAGATTTGTCAGGTGATTGCTGCCTCCATTCTGCTTGAAATTACAAAAGCCTACAAACTGTATCGTACCTGATTATGATGAAGCTTTTTAGAATTAATGGCTGAACTCATTAGCTCAAGGAGTGGTGGTGGTGGTGTTCATGTGTTAAAAATAGTTTATAAAAAATATTTTCTTAGTTATTTGACTTAATCAAAATACCAGCATGAATTGGGTGATTGATGTAATGTTATTGTAAACCTTACCCTTATCAGTGCTGGCTAACCTTCACCATACACATTTACAAAACTACAGCATATATAAAGTACTTCTTTGATAAGATGGTAGAACCTCTACCCCCCCCCACACACACACCAAAAAAAAAAAAAAAAAAAAAAAAAAAATCCCCAATGCTGCAGTAGGAAGAGCAAAAGCCATAGTAATGTTGGACTGGTAGATTGGTAGACTTGACATTTGTCAGCACTGCTTTTAGTGCAGGTTGACCTCATGTTTTGTGCAATTTTTATACAATTGCATACTGAGGCATGCAGTCGTTTCCTATTTTTGACTGGTAGATTTAGCCATAGGCTGTAAGCCAGTTTTATAAAATAAGTTTTCATATGTTGTGTAGGTATTTTCAGAATCTGAACTTTGACTTTGCAACTGGTTATTTACTTTCACCTTTTCAAAATGTAAAGAACAAACTGCCTTTCCTGTAATATAGTACATTTTGAAGAGTAGGCATTGGTTGAAAGGTTTGTCAATAATTGCCTAAGAGACATCATCACTGCCTGATGGCTATAATAGCACTTGACAATTTTTGAAGTCTCAATACTCAATTTTGTCGTCTTCCTCACTAAGAATGTTTGTGCATGAATATTATGATATATGAATGTGTAAATTCTCTGCCACACTTTAAGATTACTATCATTAATTGGGAGGGAGGTAGTGCACTGCTAAGCCTTTCACAACAATCTGAAATTAATACCCATTTTGTGTTTCTCGTAACTTACTTTTTTTTACACCTGGAGCTGGAGTGTTGCTCTTTACCATAATGCCAATAGGTAACCATGATTGTGCACATGGTGTGCTATTAGCAACTGCTTAAGTGCCACATGCTTTATTATATAATGTCCTACATTAAGAATGAAATGCAGGCTATTCCATTTATTGCCTGGAGCAGTGTGTGCGCGGGTTGTGGCATACTTATTATTATTAAACAATGTACTGAGAATACTTGTTCAATTTAATTTTCCTTTTACAGGCAAAATGGCAATTCAACCACTTAAGAAGCCGAGGATCGTCAAAAAGAGGACGAAGCGGTTCATCCGCCACCAGAGCGACCGCTTCGTCAAAGTAAAGGTATGAAGGTCTTCTGCTTTATGTTGGGGTTTTGGTCTTGCAACATGTTCCATTAGAATTTTCATGATGAAAACTTAGGCTAGAGTTCTTAACCATAGTTGTTGGTTTTGATGATACTCTTTATATATTCTGATTTTTACAAATTGAATTGAAATGAAATTTCTTGAGAGGAACATAAACTTAATTTGAAGGAATTTGTTTTAGGCCAACTGGAGGAAGCCCAAGGGTATTGATAACCGTGTGAGGCGTCGCTTCAAGGGCCAGTATCTTATGCCCAACATTGGTTATGGTTCAGCCAAAAGGACCAAGCACATGCTTCCCAATGGTTTCAAGAAGGTTCTGATCCACAATGTCCGCGTAAGTATGAAAGTCTTTCAGTGTCCAGCAAATCACTGTCATTTCATAAAGTTATTTTTTTATACCACTTTGAAAATTGATGATTGTATCCCTCATCTTTGTAACAAATGGTCTTGTTTTACAGGAGTTGGAAGTTTTAATGATGCAGCACCGTACCTTCTGTGGCGAAATTGCACATGGAGTTTCCTCCAGGAAGCGCAAGGATATTGTTGAGAGGGCCAACCAGCTCTCAATCCGCCTCACCAATGGGTCTGCAAGACTGCGCACGGAGGAATCCACGTAGATCAATAAATTGTGGTTGTAATTTGTGTATTACTTGTAACCTGTTATCTTGAAATTGGTTTTAGTTCATTGTGTTTTCAATTTAAAAGAAATAATTTATCTTTATAGGTAAGCTTGAAATTCTTGCCCACCTACAAGATAATGTATCAGGTGTTCTATACTGAAAAGTATTTACAGTAAGCATTTTTTAATTTACTTTGAATCTTACTATAGATAAGTTACAATACCACAAATTTTGCTACTGAAACAAATCTTGAGTATGAAGACCAGAGGTAGAAAGAGTATAGCCATAGTGTCAAAGAATACCCTCTAGTCCAAAAAATCAATGATATGAAAAACAAAAGCTGATGAATTTCATTTGATGCCAAAAATTAGACTGGAGATAGGCCCAATGTAGATCACTAGTCATCAACTTATTTTGCATACTTTTCTATTCCCTCTTTCCTTTTGCTTCTTGTCATCCCCTTCTATCTACTTCTAATCATTAACACATTTTTACCCCTTTTGCCACATTAGTTGTGTTCTATGACCATTGTTCTAACTAACTACTCTGGTAATCTACAAACATTGCTGTATGAACCAGCCCTGTTACCAGGGGTTGGTGTTGGCACCATAGCGTGCACAGTATGACCATACATGCCCCTGGAAAATGGGAGATAGAGATTGAGGCCCAATGTAGGGGATGACTCCTACCTTAGGCCTCAACTGGTCTTCCCTTTCCTTTTCCTCTTCATACCATTCTGTATGCTTATCCTAATTATTAACTTGTTTTTTACCCTTTTTGCCACAATACTTTATTGTAATGCTATGACTTCAGTGTCTGGCAGTGCAGACGGGCATGCCATGTCATGACCACTGAGATTACTTGTTTTTGTTTTCACACCTAGATGGCTACACTTGTACTAAGTATCCAATGAGCCAGTTACGACTCCCTCCTGTCTTGCCTGTTCACCCATTTCTTTGATTTACGAAATATTTTACGTTCTTATTTTGCTCTTACTGATGTTAAAAAACAAAATATAATGTTTATAATAAAAACACTATTGATATTCATGGCACAAGTGAAAAATAAGTTTTTCCCGCCATTTCAAATCGGGCACTAACAGAGCCATCAATGAATGAGCAAACTGTTCACAAAAAAAATATAGAAAATAGGCATTTCATTTTCCCCATTTTTTTTGTTTTCCCCAGCGGCAATGGGTTAAGAGCATTAGTGGCGTATTCAAAATATAGCAAAAGGGTTGGGGTTGGAGGTGAAGGCACCAGTTAACCCATTGCCGCCGGGGATGGCATGTACGTACATGCCATGCCCACTGAGAGTCGACTTGTTTGATTGTTTTTACACATAGATGGCTACACTTGTACTAAGTATCCAATGAGCCAATTGCGAGTACCACCCGTCTTGCCCAATCACACTTTTCATCGATTTATGAAAATATTTAACGTTATCCTAATTTGCTGCTAAAAATATCTATATTTATAGCACTAGTAAGGATACATTTTTTCCCACCAATTCAAGGAAAGGTGAAATCGGTACTAGCAGAGCCATCTATGGACAGAGATATTTCACAAAAATATAAAAAATGAGTACAGCATTTTCCCCATTTTTTGTTCATTTTCCCCGGCAGCAATGGGTTCATTGTTGACACGGCCGAAGTTTTTAATGTTGTGATAGAGAACCCCCCCCCCCCCCCCTCCATACACACAAAATTCCCTGCCTGTTGCTGTGGGTTTAGGAGGCAGAGATTGAGGCTCGATGTAGGGGATTACTCCTACCTTGGGCCTCAGCCCTTGCCTCAATTTTTTTTCTTTTCTTTCCTTTTCCTTCTAGTCTTCATCCCTTCTCCCCACAATCCCTTGCTCCTTGTTGTCATGGGGAGCTTAAGAGATGGGGACTGATGCCCAATGTAGGGATCACCCCTACCTTGGTCCTCAGCCCTTGCTTCAACTAATTTTGCATTTTTTTTTTTTTTTCTCCTCCTTTTCCTTATCTTCATCCCCTTATTTTGTCCACTTAACAATTAGGTTAACTCATTTTTGCCATTGTTTTGACCATTGACCAATCTGGAGATACATAAACACCACCTTACTGAACCAAAAAACTTTCTTACTGGGGTCTTTCCCCACAAGCCCCACCCTGTTGCTATATATTGTAAATGCCACTAATGACCTTTGATGTTAACAAGGCAGAAAATGTTCACTAAATAAATAAATTGCCATAGGGGGACTTAACCAATTTGCGACGGGGAAAATGCTGTGCTCATTTTTTATATATTTTGTGAAATGTCTACACACACATGATTTCACCTTTCCTTGAATTGGCAGGAAAATGTATTTTTTACTAGTGCTATGAATATCAATGGTGTTATTGGTTTCTCTCTCACTCCCTACTCTTCCCAAGATATTTCTACATATAATCAATCAAACTGCTCTGCACAGTCAATACATGTACTAATTATGGCAGCTCCCATTATGTATTTTATAGGGGCTGCCCTTCCTACAAGTTTGAATTTGAAGTGAAACTCTCAGATTCAGACTTGACCTCTATGCAAAGCCAGACGAGGAGCACATCAACTAGGTTTCTCTCTCACTTCCTACTCTTCCCAAGATATTTCTACATCTCCCCCAGCATCTCTTCTTCATCCCACTTCTACCCCTTCCCTCTCCCAGTCAAGTTCTTTTGCCATTCTAAATCCAGATACCCCAACCTCCTCCACTATTCTAGACACTCTAATCACTACTTACCCTGTACCTAACCTTCTTCCTCCTGCTTCAGATGCATCATCCCAATCCTAACCCACAATCCCTAGTGCTATTAATATCGACAGTGTTATTATTATTATAACCATTATAATTACTATAATGTTATAAACATTAGTAGCAGCAAAATAAGATAACGTAAAATATTTTTGTACATTAAAGAAAAGGGTAAACGGGCAAGACAGGCAGTACTCGTAATTGGCTCATTGGTGACTTGGTACAAGTTTAGCCATCTATGTGTAAAAACAAACAAGTAACTCACAGTGGGCATGGCACATTCATACACGTCTTGCCCGTCGGCATTGGGTTAAATGCCACAGCTAGATCATACACACCAAAGTAAGAATTATACAACAATAAAATCTGTAGCCAACAAGGCATCTGTTGTATGGCCCTACACCAAAAACGTGCAATAAATGCAACATTAGAAAGTCAGCTTTGATTTTGACAAAGCCCTACACATACACTACAAGATGGTTAATGGTTAATGGTTAAAAGCATGATAAATGTGTAAGACATCTAAGGTCATGTAGCACTATAGTTAATGTTAGTGAAGGGTGGTTGAGTTAGTGATTAGTTGTCTAAGCTGGGCAAAGGAATTGGTGAGTGAAAGGGTTAAGGTCGGGTGTTAGATTAGATAAAGGATATGTATGCGTTTGAGGAAAGAGAACAGGTTGTTGATGCAGAAAGTGTGGGATTCTGTAAGGATGTCTGATAGGTTGGGAGGTCGGTGAAGGGAGGATAGGTGGGGGAAAGCAGAGGTACGGGCTGCTTCAAAACGTGGGCACGACAATAGGATGTGTACGATTGAAAGGGGAACATTACATAAGGAACATAAGGGTGGATCAGATTGTGACATCAGATAGGAGTGTGTTAGACGGGTGTGGCCAATGCGTAAGCGGGCGAGAGCAGTCTCCCAACGTCTGTTCCGATGAAATGGAGCTGACCAGGAGGAGATTGATAGTTTTACAGAATGTAATTTATTAGTGTGGAAGCTTGACCAAAAAGATTGCTTATACAAGAAGGTCTTAAAGTGTGGGTAATAATCCGTGGCTGGGATATGTGAGAAGCGTGGTTGGTATGATGTGGACATAGCAGCGTGGCGTGCTAGTGTATCTGCCTGTTCATTGGAATCCAAAATTTGATTGTTTTATGGCGTGTGGACAGGTAGAACAACCAGTTCTGGATCTTACAAACAAGGGGGTTGGTGCTGTGTATTGACTTTATGAGAGTTAATGAGCTACGGGAGTCAGTAAAAATTGTAAAAGAGGAAGAGGAGAGTGAGTATATGTGTTTTAGGGCAAAAAGGAGTGCATATAGTTCTGTAGTAAGGACACTGGATTCAGGAGGAAAGGAGTATTTGAAAGTACGAGTTGGGAATATTACTGCAAAACCAGCACCAGAGGTGGATTTGGAGCCATCAGTATATACGTGTATACTAGAGGAATGAGTGGAGACATGGTCGAGGAAATGGATGAGAAGGACAGCAGGAGGAATATTTGATTTTGGTGGGTCGGGGAAAACAGAAGAGCAAATATGGGTTTGAGGTATAAGCCATGGAGGGACGGAATGGACAGAGAACAGGAGAGGTTGGAGATGGGGGAAAGGGGAATGGGAGAGGAGGGTATCCATGCGAGTGGAGAAAGGTGTAGGTAAACGTGGAAATGAAGCTAAGGTAGGAAGTAGGGATTGTGGGATAGTTAGTTTAGTGAGGGAAAGTTGGTGGAATCGAACATAACATCAGAGAGAGAGAAGGGCACGACGTCGAGATAGAGATGGTATGCCTGATTCAGTATACAGGCTCTCAACTGGAGAGGAGCGGAAGGCGCCTAGTGCTAAGCGAAGACCACAGTGGTGGATTGTACACTACAAGATCTGTGAGGAGATATCCACAGTTTTCTAATAAAAGTAACAGAATAACTCTGCAATGGATAATAATACACTGTATAACACTTTGGTGATATTTATTCATGAATTATACATCTTTACAAACTAACTGATATAAGAATTGTTAAATGGTAAATATTTCCAGTGCTACAGGAACTTCCTAACCAATTTTGTGTTTGTTGATTATCAGACAAAAATAAACTTATTATGCATTCCTAAAGTAACAAATATATATATTTATTTATTTATACACAAAAATAATTATTTTCTGTTCAAGGTTATGACGTGCAATACCTTTTTGTCAAGTACTTAGTCTAAAGAAAGAAAATCTTAATGAGAAAAGTATACCAAAACGAGTGTTAACTTTCTTGAAATTCAATGATTTTTTGATGTAACAAATTAAAATCTGCTCTGTGTTTCATCAAGAACTGGCCTTCAAAGTGAAACACTGGGATTTCATACTTATACAAATTAAACCATTTTTCATTGTCTGGTGCAGTTATATCCACCTCAACAAGTTTAAACTGGTCTCTCAGTGGTTCTAAAACCTGCAAGGATAAATTATTACTTGAAATACAGTAAGGATAAAATAATGTCTAAATTTAGGCTTCAAATCTTCAGGAAAAATTCCTGTACTGAGCTACTACCGTTATCACCTTGGTGAAATATTCAAAGAAAACTTTGGAAAAGAGTAAGTGTGATACCTTCATGACCATATACATATATATTGGGTACTTTTGTGAGTGAGTGAGTGAGTGAGTGAGAGTGAGTGAGAGTGTGTGTGTGTGTGTGTGTGTGTGTGTGTGTGTGTGTGTGTGTGTGTGTGTGTGTGTGTGTGTGTGTGTGTGTGTGTGTGTGTGTGTGTGTGTGTGTGTGTCATTTGTGTGACATATATATACTGCATTTAAGCTCACTTACCTCAAGTGCAACTTCACAAAGTGGACAAGGGTTCTTCGTAAAGAGGGTCACAGTTGGCTTACTTGAGGTTTTGGGATGGTGCCTGTTTGAGATTTAACATGGGTTCAAGTCTCTTTTGAACATACTAAGACTGAATCCTATGCACATGCACTCAGTAACTCACTCTCACACACACACACACACACACACACACACACACACACACACACACACACACACACACACACACACACACACACACACACACACACACACACACACGCGCACCACAACACACACACACACCCATGCTCACACCATAACATACACACACACAAATGCACACTCCACAACACACACACACACACACACATATGCTCACACCACAACATACACACACACAAATGCACACTCCACAACACACACACACACACACACACACACATATGCTCACACCACAACACACACATATGCTCACACCACAACACACACATATGCTCACACCACAACACACACATATGCTCACACCACAACACACACACATATGCTCACACCACACCACACACACACACCACAACACACACATACACACACCACAACACACACATACACACACCACAACACACACATACACACACCACAACACACACACACACACACACACATGCTCACACCACAACACACACATACATACACACACCACAACACACACACACACACCACAACACACATACACACACCACAACACACACACACACACACATGCTCACACCACAACGCACACATGCACACACCATTACACACTTGCACACATCATAACACAAACATGCACACAACCACTTATGTAATTGCATTCATTTTCAGGAATTTATGATCAGCTGATAAAACCTTAGTAAGAAATGTTCTTCAAAATCAATCTAAAGGAAAGGGATCCTCGCAGATGAAAAGGTTGGTAAGCAATGCTCTATAAATTATAAAATTACTAAATAATGAAGGCATTGGCACTATGGCTTTTATTATGGCTGTGCAAACATTCTGTCGGCCCTCTTACTGCCCCTCTCTCTCTCTCTCTATTTTTCACACAGTCATCCAAACACTCACTCATTATATAAATGAGGAAAGACATTTTCTTTTTAACAATGACATATGGGCCCAGGTATTTTTTCATAAGAAGTGAGAAAGAAAACTCATGTACATCATTGCAAATATTTGAATAAACAAGTTCTTCAAATCAGAAATTAATATCGGGATAAATAATAAGGTTAATAAAGCTCACCTTATAGAAAATAATTTTTATTACATCTATCCTTAAATTCAAAAATTACTTTCCCTGATTATTACACACAATTATCTTCCATAAATTAATATTTCACATTACAAATCTATACATATCTAATTTATTGATTCATTTTCAACTACAGTTTTACAATTACTTCAGACCTTATCATTGCAAACTAATTGTCAAACATCAGCTGCCTAATCCTTTCAAGCTAAAGTTAAAAAAGATGCCCCATGTGTAGTTAACAGAGTATTCCGTGAAGGTCCATGACACACTTACAGCTTTTCAATCATGATGGCAGAAGCTCCTCCTCCACCATTACAAATTGAAGCAACACCTTTCTGGCCTGGCTTCAGAGCATGTGCCAGGTGAACAACGATACGAGCTCCAGACATGCTGGAAAAGAAATACAAAATTAGGGACTGGAATAGTTATATCCCCATTTTTTTCCCCCCAAATTGTTCTCTAGTATGAATTTAACTTAACAAAGAGAAAAAATGCAAACAGAAATGAATCTGCAAAGAGAAAATGTCAGAATAAAAATTAACAAAACAATCAGGAATTTATACTGAGAAAATTACAATCTAAAAATCAAGAAACTTTCATATCTTAAAATCAAAATGTTTGTTACAAATAGAGGTCTTTGAACAAATACAAGTAACAAATATTTCTTACAAATATTTACAGACAAAAATGTACATCAAAATTAGCCATTTTGTATAAGACAATTCAACAAAACACAAACTATCTCCATTATGAAACAGAAGGGGTTTGTAAACACTTGGAAATGGAAACAAGTAAGAAATAAATAAAAAAGAAAGATCTAAACATTTCAGAGACAACTGGTGAAATATAAATAAATATGGACAAGAGCCTAGCCCTAATACAGTGTATACTATATATAATAGGAAAAAATAAATACTACAAAAAAAGCTCCTCAGGAGAATAAAAAACAAAAGAAAAGAACATATCAAAATTGCCAACTTACCCAATGGGATGACCTAATGAGACTGCCCCTCCATGGATATTGACTTTAGATGGGTCAAGGTCACACAATTTGATGTTGGCCAAAACTACCACAGAGAAAGCTTCATTGACTTCCCACATTGCAACATCATCTGATTTCACACCAGTCATTTCAAGCAGCTAAAAGGAATTAGACATTTTTAGATGATGGTCTTCTCCCTCTCAACAGAGGTGTAAATGTACAAAAATAGGTTGCATAAGCTCTTTCACATGTCATTATTTTGATTACAACTAAAATAGCTACATTGATTAAACCACTAACATCTTACCAAGAATTTCATTTTCAATAAAGACACACCTTCAACTGGATTTCTGCTCATTAAAAATTACAGTCAGAACATAACACGAACCTTTGGTGTTGCAAGGGCTGGGGCAATTGGGAAGTCAATAGGATCAGTGGCAGCATCACAGAATCCTACAACTCGGGCAAGAGGCTTCACACCATGTTGAGCTGCAGCTTTGGCAGTCATTAGTAGACATGCAGCTGCTCCATCATTTAGAGTGGATGCATTTCCTGCAGTGACTGTGCCTCCTTCACGCTAGAAGATTAAGTCCTCTGATCATTTACTTCAAATTATTATTATATTTCCTAACATGTAACATGTGTAATTCATCCACATTCAGTTAAAACCCATTATTTGTTTCTTGAATTAAAGAATTCAAACCTACTGTACATAGCACAGAAATAAGTTTCACAGCCTTAAAGATATCAGAGTACAGAGTACCTACACCATATCCAAAACACAGAAAAAATTTACCTGGAAAACAGTAGCAAGTTTCTTAAACTTATCAAAGTTGACCTTTTTATACTCTTCATCTTCTTTGAAAACAATATCAGGTTTCCCACGTTTGCCTGGGATAGTGACCTCCACCAACTCATCTCTGATGGCTCCACTTGCCCATGCTTCAGCAGATCGTTTGTAGCTCAGCATACCTGTAGGATTGGTATCACATCCAAATATACCCATGTCCAAGATGGCTGATCATGCAGATTACACTGATATTGAGATTCATTATTTTTATCATAAGCATAAGATCAATGGTAATAAGATAACAGCAGCAACAATGATACAAACACAAACATTAATGAAAATCATTCTCATTGCATTTATCAATGATTACCGGATAAAGATTATTGATAAAAAGTTTCAAAACATATACAGATTAATATATAACAAAATATATAATTCCCAAAAATAAAGACATCTACATGAAAAAGAAGACAATTGAACAGACCATACTCATCCTGTTCATCACGTGTAATGTTTAGCTTCTTAGCCGTGTTCTCCCCACAGTTGCCCATGTGGAATTTGTTATAGACATCTGTGAGGCCATCATACACAATGCCATCCTGGAAGATATGTGGCCAGATATGTTGTTTATATCAGATTGTATTCCCTTTTGTAAGGTATACTTGCTTTTAGGGCTTACACGAAAGTAATCATACTGTCTTGTAATACCGTAAAAACCTATATTAAGTGAATATTTCTTTTAACAAATGTGTGAGAAACCAAGGAAATGAAGAGAAGCATAAAGATACAGAGCTTAGGTACAAAATATATATGTACATTAAAACAAACAAATACAAAAATGATGAGAAAACAAAAATAAAATCATAAACTCAAGAGCAAGAAGAACAAGAATGAAATAATTAATCAACAGAATGGATTTCCCAATATTTTCCATAACAACTACACAAACATACGCAGACACAGACTTACATGAAGCTTGACTCCTCCATAGGGCGAATCACCTCGCATCATGTAATATGGGACATTTGACATGCTCTCCATACCACCAGCCACCATGACTTCCTGTGACCCACACATGAGAGACTGTGATGCCATCATTATGGACTTCATTCCTGAGGCACACACCTGAGGAGAAAGAGAATGGATAGAGACAAGAAGAGAAAAAATAATTTCCTTATACTTATCTTTAATCATGTGGTACTATTCAGAATCAAAACATCCATTTAATATTCACAGATGATTTATATATCTGACTAGGAGGATACTAATTACATTAGCTGTACCATTTATCAGGGCTTCACAGAAACAAGTGAAAAATTCAGGGAAAAGGCTGAAAAGTTTTAAAGCGGTTTTAAAATCCACTTCATTTAAGGAAATACATATCAAAATGTATGTCACCCCATTTTTGTCTTTTTATCAAAGGAATCAGTAAATGATTATAATCCTGCGCTAGTAATTTCTTTATTTTTTAGTGGCAAGAAACACATTCCCTATCAAATGTATACTATAATGTAATCAGTATATAGATCATCACCTTACAGCTGAGTTTAACCTCTTCTAACTGGGCATGCCTATAGCTGTCATGAAAAAACAACTCACCATGACAGGTACAGTTATAGGAGTCACAACTCGCTAAAGTGAGTCAAGCGGGAAGTTCCAAAATACATAGCAGACTCCCTGGCCAAAAGGCTAGATGGTTGCCAGAAGTCACCGGAATGAGTGACATCCAGGGATTTCTGGCACCGCCATTATAGGGTTAATGGAATGGAATGCAATTCCACTGCCAAATACAAAGTTTAAGACATCATTCAGAAAAGAATGATGAAATAATACTAATTTTAATCCTACTTTATCCACCTTTGGTTGACTTTTAATACACTGAATCCTCTCACCTTGTTGACAGTGGTACAGGGAGTGCCCTTGTCGAGCCCTGCAAAGAGCGCAGCTTGTCGAGTGGGTGCCTGCTTTGCCCCAGCTTGGCATACATTGCCCATGTACACCTAAAGAGGAGTGAAAAAATTATTAACACAATCATGTCACATTTTATATCATAGTCCCTAAGTAAAAATGCATATTGCTTCAGGAGAAAAAGTACACATTCCACATCTGTAACCTTTTCTTGTGCCAAGTGCTGGTATTACAATGCAGTATGAAAGGACACAAATCTGTGCTCAAGAAACAATTTCCAACTATAGAAACATGGGGCAAGATGTAATCTTTCCAAACAAGATATCAGCAAGAATAGGATGAATTTCTATAGACAGATTGAATATGAACAAACAGAAGGTATTTGGGGAATAGGCCTTTAAGTTAAAACTCAAGAATATGAAAGAAATAACAATGTTGAAGCCAAATGTGTTTGGCATATATATTTTCTCTTGATTGTATACAATTTGTGAGTACTTTGTGATTGTATTTTCATATATAAGATACTATTGTTGGAATGTTATTAGAGCTTCAGACTAAATTACAATTACATATGTATTATTTATCTTTTACACCATATTTCTTATCCAGATTCTTTCCAAAGAACAATTTACTTTACCAATTTTCTAATCAACATTGCTTAACTTCATTGGATGGGAACAGTGAAATGATCTGATTAAGTGACAAAGTGTACAAAAAGACAATCACTTCTGCTCAGTCAATTACTTCATCTTTTGAAATAGCACAACCAAACAAACACTCTCTCTCTCATCTCCAACTTCTCTCCCCTTAACCCCTTGGTGCCGGGTATGACGTGTACGTACGTGCTATGCCCACAGGGAGTACTTGTTTGATTGTTTTTACACATAGATGGCAACACTTGTACTAACTCCCCAATGAGCCAGTTACGAGCACCGCCCGTCTCCCCCGTTTACCCGTTTCTTTGATTTACAAAATATTTTACGTAATCTTATTTTGCTGTTACTAATATTTTAAAAAATTATAAAAATTGTAATGTTTATGATAAAAACAACACCATCGATTTTCATAGCACTAGTGAAAAATACGTTTTTCCCGCCATTTAAATCAGGCGCTAGCAGAGCCATCTATCGGCAGACATTTCACGAAAAACATAGAAAGTGGTCACAATATTTTCCCCATTTTTAGTTCATTTTCCCCAGCACCATTGGGTTAAAAGCACTCCTACTGATTTGTGCCCTTCTCTATCCAAGACACCATCACAATCATCCCTTCCTGGGAATGATCACCTGCACCCTTGTCTTTATTAACTATTTGTCTGATGAAGAGACACTGATGATAATGACCCAGAAGACATCACCAGGAAAGCACCATCAACACAGTAGTGGCTCTTCCAAGTCCAAGTTGGACTATGTTTCCAAGCTGGATATGTCTCAACTCATATATGCTATTTTTGTCCTATAGGGGGTGTTCTTGTTCTTGGACTCACAACATCCTTTGCAAGGAGATGCAAGAGTGCCCCTCAGCAGTATGGTTTCTCAGCCTATCCTGAAGTTAATGCAGACATGGATAATACCTCATCACAACTGGACTTCTATCATTTATTACAGGCAATCTCAAAGAAACCTCACTACCCCAAACTAACATGTACATGTCCTTGCATTCTCAGTTTCCTCTGACAGTACAATTTCTATATATATACATATCTAGATATCATTTTCTCTGTGTATGCTTATATAGTTTTCTTCTGAATATATTTGACTTGTGCTTTTATAATGTGCATTTTACATCTTTATAACTAATACATAATCACAATCCCATCCATCTTCCAAGCACATGCAGAAATGGGTTACATCCAATGAGGATCCTGCATACATATCTTGCACTCCAGCTAAAAGGGATTACAAACTTTCACCAGCAACAGTACTGTCAATAGAGGAAGTACTGATGACCTGTATTCCCTAGAACAGTGCCACATAGGTACTTTGATTAGTTGTCTGCGAATCTTTACTACATCAACAATAATATTGATCATACAGAAGACCACTTACAACCCAAACACAAGGGTACTAAAGGTATGCAAATTCAAGGTCTAAGAACAAGTTACAGCTGTACTGTCAAAATCAATGCATTAGCTTAAAAAAGGGTATGAGCTGTACACTCAACCTTTCCTACTTCCTCCAGTCCAGGTGCACTGGCACCATCAGCACTGCAATTTGTTTCATTACTTACATGGCTGCAAATGGGCATTTTCCCATTCCTTACCTCCTGGACAGCCTTGGGATCCACTCCTGCTCGCTCTACCGCAGCTTTAATAGCAACTGTTCCAAGCGCTGGCGCCCCAAGCGATGATAGTGCTGATCTACAAGCAAATATATATACGTTGAAGCCAATTTATGAAAAGATTTGCCAATAACCTTTTTAGTGTAGCTGAGAAATTATGAGTTTAAAGAAAAAGAGAAACCATAATCAAATTGCATAACTGAATAAGTATACTGCATAGTTGAGGAAAAAATGTCTTGAGTCATACATAGTATTTCAGTTAGTTTCATGATACATTTGATACATCACCAATCAGATATGCTACAAGCTATCAAATAAATTTCTAAAGAAAACTATTAATGTATCAATATCAAAAATTGCATATTTGGTTTATGCTTAGAATACACTGGAAGTGACTTATAAAACCGGGCTCTTCTAAATTGCCTAGGGGTCATAAAACAGAAAAGGTTGGGGAACCACTGCTCTAAAAAGTTGCTGTGACAGATGCCCTGCAACTTGAAGTCCAATAGAATTAGAGCCAGTGCATGACACTGTAGCTTCAGCTTCTGCTCAACAGCAAAAGACATCAAACTTTCACCAAGTAGATTCTGGCAAGAATGGAGCTTGGATTGTTTATTTATTGAACAAAAATTACCTGAGAGGTCTACAGGCTCTATCTTGCCTCAATATTGTTGATGGAAATTAGTTTGCCTCTTTTTTTTTTTTATTAAGATATAACATGAGTTGTTAACCTAATGCCAATGGGCATGATGTGTACGTATGTGCCATGCCCACTGTGAGTTACTTTTTTACAAAGAGATGGCTATACTAGTACTAAGTCATCAATGAGCCAGTTACGAGTACTGTCTGTCTTGCCCGTTTACCCTTTTCTTTGATTTACGAAAATATATCTTATTTTGCTGTTACTAATGTTTATAACATTATAATAATTATAATGTTTATAATAAAAATGACACCATCGATATTCATAGCACTAGTAAAAAATAATTTTTTCCTATCAATTCAAATCACGTAAGGTCACAAGGGCTACTAACTGACTCCTTTGTAGCTCAGTACTAGCAGAGCCATTTATGTGCAAAGACATTTCACAAAAAATATTAAAAATCAGCACAGCATTTTCCCCATTTTTTATTCATCTTCCCTGAAGGCATTAGGTTAATCTTCTGATAACCTTCTCTCAAAACAAGACTGGAGAAGAAATGAATCCCTAGAATACAGCTATTAGTATTAGTATAAGGCTTTTCATCAATTTTCTCTTGGATAAAACTTTGGGTTATAATATCTTAAGGTAATTGTACAAATATTTCCATCTTTGTCTTGGTTTGTACAGTGCTATCATTTTATCATCCTACTCCACCACTACCAGCAACAGCATATTTTCTCCCCAATAAGAATTTGAATGAATGGATACATTTCATTACATAACAAACAGATAAACATATTACCTGAATGAACCCATGGGTGTACGAACTGCACTGACAATGACGACATCGTTCAGGGTTCCTGTGCTGTACGAGCGAACCCCTTGCACACCACTCTGTTGAATTAATTGCTACAATTAGATGTAAATTTCAGATATAGTTTCAGTTTCCCACAAGTAAAATTTGCCTGTAATGGACAGAAAGACTGAAAATATGATATTTCCTTTGCAAGTTGTTAATAACAAAGTTGTGCAACACAACACTTTGGTATACATGCATAGGAAAATATAATGACAATATCATAAAGAAATGGAAAACATACACTCAGTGATACATGAAATAATCTGCAGATGCAAAGAATAACGTTAGATATGAAGAAAATTGGTCACAACAAATACTGCGTGGAGAGCAAGACCATGGTGATTGGTCTGGGGGCAAAGCTCTAGGGTTAAAAAGATTTTTGGTTCATATGGTGATTTTTGTGGATTTCCCAGGAGTGGCTGTAGTAATAGAGACTTAACATCAGGAGGGTGTCATCACTTTGTTAACTCATTAAATCATTTGCAAAGGAAAAACGCTACAGATTCATGCACATTACAATGTGTATAATTGAAAAAAGGAATACTAATGGCAAGGTTGGATGGCTATGTGAAACAAAAAAAATTACCAAAATTCCTGGTAAATTAAAATTCCTTTGCACACTATTAAATTAATTACAGAAGCATCTAAAGTTTACTATGAATACACTTGATTATGATTACGGCAGTTGTCGAGAACGTCACATGAGTTTAGAGGTAACATTTACATCATCTAAATCTGTTACTCCTTTAGCACCAATGCAGAAAATACAAACCTTGAACATGAACATAAATAACAAAAAAAATACAAAAACCATGGCACTTTATACCACACTGGAAACCGTCCCTTTTCATCAACACCGGTTCTGACGATCACATCACCTCGTTATTTCTCATTAATCTTTATTTCCTCCAACCTTAACTTCTAAGCAAATGACTCCTAAAACTATTCTCGAACAATCACGTTAGAGAAACCCCCTAAGCTCGCGAATTACCTGATAAAATAACCTGAACAGCGCCATCGCTCAGGGTCGTCTCCGAGAGCGCACCCGATCAGCTGTGCGAGTGTTGCCAGATGTATGTCGCTGGTGACGCCGATGCCAGAACAATAAAAAAAAACTCTTGCATTCCGGTATCTCTAATTGCCGACGGGCGCCGCCGGGAACCGACGGGCTGCCGACGGGCCATGGACGGGCACCGACGGGCTAATTTGTATCCTAGTAGTGTAAACTGTACCTAGGGTTCTCTGCATGATTAGAGTACCGGTAGACTACTCCTCTTTGACTGCGACTCTGTTGGAGTTAACTCTTGTCCACCCTTAATACAAAGTTACATTTCACTGCCATTTGTGGCTTTGCAGAGTGGCCGTTTCT